ATTAGGCAAGAATGTGAAAGGACCGTTTAATTAGTCAATAAATATCCGTCACTGGAAGTTGACAACCTGGAAAGTTGTCTGCCTTGGCGGCTGCGATCCCACACAAGTTCTGTCAGGCAGGGTGTGTCATGAGCTGTTGTGCAAGGCCTCACCTTAAACTGGGACCATTAAGAGTCAATGGTTTGAACTCTGATTCTCATTCTGGAGCACGTGGAATTTTTTAGTGAGGGGAAAATAAAATTATAAAAGCCGTAAGTTGCGAGCGGTCTCCGTGTCATCCGTGTCACGTTATGTAACTTAGCAGACTGCCATTTCCCCCTGCCTACAATGTGAGATATCTTAAGACTTAATCACCCAAAGTTGTTAAGTAGAAGTTAATTAAAAGTGTGTAATGATGTGTTTCTTGGAAATAATTGGTGTGATTAAAAATCCGACTTCAAAAACGCAGTGGCATCAAAAAGTTTTTCAGTCGTTTTCCTTGTTTATTTTTTTTTAATTAAAAATACTGGGGGTTTAAGAGTTTGTTGAATTAATTTCGATAATTACATTTTCCTTCTGAAAAAATGCTAGAGCCCACCTATTTTCCATCCTGCATGAACACAACTACAGTCATATGGAATAAAGTGAGAAACAAACAAAATCCTCTTCAGAAGTAAGGATTTTAATAACAGATCTTGATTCCTAAATCTGTGCTTTCTCAGTTCATGAGTAGTGGGAACTCCCCTAGGTAAAATTCTAAAAAATAAGCATTGACTGTAACTGTCTTTTCCTTTTTAGTTTCTATCTGTTGAAGAGCTCCCCTGGTATCTGTTTAGAGACACATGCTATAACAGTCGTATTTAATGTTGAAATGTATTGTCGTCGTGCTCTGCAGTCTTTCAGTGGTAGGGAGCAGAGGAGGAAGAGGAAGGCTGAAATTGCTCAAAACTCTCCATCATTTATGGGGTTGCTCAGGCTACTGGGATTTTGAACTCAGGAATCAAAGGCACCCTTCACTCGTGTGATATTTTTTTTTTTCCACCTGATAGATAAGGGCATGGCAGGCACTTCATCCTCTCTTCCTCATCAGACCCCCTGTGCAGAAGCTGGGGAACAGAAATAGTTGGCTGTTTTCCTTCTATGTCTTGAAGGATATTTTAAGGAGGGTGTAGCATCAAGTGAGATAAAACAGGAATATATTTATAAAGAGATTAGTGAGTGGGGATGTATTGGAATGAAATTACTACATACAGAATTTAGCATAACAGTGACAAGAATGGAATGTCATCAGTGTTCTGGGTGAAAGTAATTCTCTTAGAGCTAAAGAAACTATTATGAAGAATAAAGAGAAACAAATAATTAGAAATAAGAAGCTGAGGCCTAGACTAGTTGAAGGGCCTCGTGGAAGCAACATGCAGAAGATTGATTCCTTTTACCTTCCTGAAGAAAACGTGAGAAATACCACGCACCGGAAATCAAGCAAAAAAAAACACTTCAGTTGTCAGGTGCACATGGAGAAAAATCCTTTCCTTCATTTATTCTTGCAGCTGAAATGCAGAGTTAGTTCAGAGGTTGTTTCAAGAGTTTTGTAGTTTTCTGCTGCTATAATAAAATCTACTTCTTGCTTCTAATGAAATCAGCAGCCAGCTTCCTCCTAGAAAACACATTATCCCACAAATGAACATAGGATTAACCCACTGATAACTAACACCAAGGTATTTCACTGGCCTTTCCTGCCCTTTGCTGGTGATTCGAGTTGAATTAGTTCATATCCTGCCCATGTTTTTCCACATCATTGTTCTTCTGCCAGTGAGAGACATTTCCACATTTAACATTTAAGTATTCCCTTGCCATGGTCACAACCACATCTGTCTGACTTGTTTTTACTTGAGGCCTAAATGTCAGCTGAAGCTATTTTGTAAAGGATCCAGATATAAGTGTTACCCTGTTCATATTATACAAGATTTTCCTTGTCTAGTAACCGGCATCTTTGACAAGGATGAGGAGACATTAAATCAAACCTGACCAGTTTTTGATTATCCCAGATCTCAAATTCTTTTTATTCCAGGCTGCTACACTGAATCCTATACTTAATTTTCCCTAAATCACTATTGCCATATCTGAATTTAGCCTATTGTCTTGTAGAATTTATCTGTGTGGTGAAGTAACTGAAACTGTTGTTTTCACCATTTTAACAATATTTACTGTCCCATTGGATCTAGATATATTTATTATTGCTTGTGTTGCAAGGTACCTGCGTTTCTTAAAATGAAAAACTGTCAGATTCTCAATGTTTTGAGAATCAAATCAACCCACTTTTTCCTGTTTGGTTCTGATGCTTTGTAATTGTTTTCTTTTTCTTTTCTTTTTTTTTTTTTTTCCCAAACTAGCAACGTTGACAGTTGTCCTTTATTTATCATCCTTTCCCCAGAGTTTGAGAGTATTTTTATCCAGGCTACTCTGTAACTGTTTAGTCCAATAAAGTAAAGCTTGAGCATATTGCTAATCAGTAGAGCCTCATCACTTATGGGTTAATCCAGGTAGGTGTTAGAGCTTCTCTTCCTACAGCAAACCCACCAGAAGAGGCAGTGCAGCAGAGAAACAAGAGCTGGCAAGGACATGCATGAACCTGACCTTCAAATATTTCGAAGCAGTTGCTC